ATATGTCAGTGTCACCTCCTCCCATCTAATTCCCTATTCTCTTTTCTTTCCTTTTTTTTTTTCCTTTTAAATACTCAACTTTTCAGACTTCACTACTTGTGAGTAAAAGCCATCGGATATATAAAATCACACATACTGATAAAATGTGGTTAAATTGGTGTAATTTTTAATAACAGAGATTATTCCAGCTTGTGAAACCAGACAAAAATCCATTAATGGTTCTTATATAAGAATCACGAAAAAAGCTGCTTCATATCATGAAATAGTATCCAACAATTAATAAGAAACAATCAGCAATACATACGAACACGATGAATATCTGATTAAATCTGTATGAAGTACATTAATTCACAAGGCTCTAAGTAATGCAAGGGCCCAAGTAACCACATTGATTTATAGTTACACAAAAATGTTTAAACCATATTGTGTGGAAGATTTTGCTTGATTTTGCACAGCGTCCTATTTTGTTTCTACTCTTATTGCACTACTCCCATTATAAATATAGATAAGCTAAAACTGCAACTGGGAAACGATGCAAGAGGTCTGACCAATTCACCATATCATGTAAAATAACCATCAATCACATATATTCACGGCTACACAGTTATAATAAATGAAAAAAAAAACTTGATGTTGATGGAGGTGGTTCCAGTACTACTTAGAATTACACACACACACACAATATTGGTTGATTCACTATATATTAGGGTCAAGAGGAGATTGGAGAACTCCATATTATTTGAAACCAAACAAAAAAAAAAAAAGCCTTTCACCTTGCAATTATGTGTTTTAACAGTATGCAATTATGAGCTTCCTTTTTTTTTTTTTTATTTAAGTCCCAATTTAAGTCCCAAGATAAACCTAATTGTGATACCGCTTGTTCGGAACTATGATTTAAACATGTGCAATTATATGTTTTCAACATTATGCAATTATTGGCTTCTTCTTTTTCATATAGGTTGCAGATGGAACCTGATTGTGATATTGCCTGTTTAGGAATTAAGGCTTAAGTGTTTGTGAAATTAAGAGGTTCTAACATTGTACAATTACAAGTTTTTAACAATGTACAATTATAGGCTTTCAACATTGTCATTTTCATATAGGTCCTCAATAAAACTTTATTATGATATCACTTGTTAGGAATTGAGTCTAGATATGTGTGTAGTTACAAGCTTCTAACATTGTGCAAGTATGAGTTTTCAACATTGTGGAATTTCAGGTTCTATGGGCTTCCATTTTTTCATACAGGTCACAATTGAAACTTAACTGTGGTACCACTTGTTAGGAATTATGATATAAACATGTGAGCAATTAGGAGCTTCCAACATTGTGTAATTATAAGTTTTTAACAATGTGCAATTATGGGCTTCTAACATTCTCTTTTTCATAGAAGTCCCAAGTGAAACTTGACTATAATAACACTTATTTAAGAATTGGGCTTAAATATGTGTGCAATTATTTGCTTCTAACATTGTGCAATTACAGGCTTTTAGCAACACAACTTCCAAGCGAAACTTGATTATGATATCACTTATTAAAAATTGAAACTCAAATGTGTGTACAATTATGGGTTTCCATTATTGTATAATTACGAGCTTTCTCTTTTTCATAAGTAAAACCTGACTTTAATACCATTTATTAGAAATTGATATTTAAACGTGTGTATAATCATGGGTTTTTAATATTGTGTAATTACAAGTTTCTAGCATCATCTTTTTCATATAGGTTTCTAATATGTAAGCAATAATAGGCGTTCAACATTGTGCGATTATGGGTTTTAAATGATTTGCAATTACAAACTCTCAACATCATTTGGTTCATACAATTGTGAGTAAAACTTGACTCCCGTATCATTTATTGGAAATTGGGAGCAATCACCCAAAAACAAGGGAAGATATATACCAAATTAAATGACCTATGATTAGTGGAAGCCATTATATTTTAACTTAAAATTTCATACTCAAGTTTATAGACCTCTCAACTATATTATATATTATTAAGCCTAATCTTATTTAATGTAAAACTTTTTACATCAACTTAAGCTATTCATACTTGAATATTCTAACAATCTCTACATCAAGTGAGTCTATAAGTTCCTCCATCTTGAAGAGGTTCTTGTCTACTTGATTTGAGCTAGTCTCATTTTAAGCTTTAAATGGTGTGATAGATACAAGTTCATGCTGGAATCAAGGCTAGCGCAATTTTGGAATTTAGACATGTGCACAAACTTCCAACACTCACTCTTTTTTGGAAACTCAAACATGCGAGTGGAGCCTCGAAACAAGAAAAACAATAAGGGTATAATTTTAGTCTTCATTTTGCAAGAGTTATGCCTAAATTATGAAAATAGATAAGCGTGCAAAATTTAGGGAAGTTCCACATGGCTTTCAAAATAAAGAGAGAAAATTTATATACTTTTACTAAAATTTTAAAAAAAATTGACTTTTAATAACTTCACTGGAGCAAAAAATCATACGTGTTTTTTGGTGTATTTTTTTGTATGGACTTAAACCTAAAATCTTCATGTTTAAGTAATTATAACTCCTTCTACCAAGAACAACAACTGTAATTTTATAGTAACGTTTCATATCAAATGTAAAAGAAATTGCATGAAAGCTTGTCTGATTATTAAGGCTATATTTCGATTAACTTCAAATTGAGGTTAGGAGTAATAAAAGCTCATTACAAAATAAAAATCATGTTTGTATTGAGAATTTTTTTTTTCTCAAAGCTCATTTTCATGGGTTTTGCTTCAGTGTTGAGCATTAAAAGCATTTAATCCGTTTGATTTTATTATTATTATTTATTTCTACATCAGCCTTCAATATGAGAGGGAGAGCTTTTTCTTATTTTTTACCAGCAAAAGTAGGAGAGAGGTTGAAGAAGAATCTCTAATTAATTAACCTGTTTAATATATATTAATTTATTTTAGATTTCTTAACTCTTTTTTTAAATAAAATTATAATTTAAAGTTTAATTTTTTAAAACAGAATGTTGGTTAATCACAAAGTTTAATATTTTAAAAAAACTAAATTAATCATAAAAATATATAATAAAATTTATGTCTTTTTTTATCGTTATACTTTTAAACTAACTTTTAAATCAAATTATTTAAATAAATTTTAATTTATCTAACTGATTTTTGAAAAAAAATATCTAAATAAAAATCACGTTAAAATTACAGACATTTTTTTTAACCTTAATTGAATCCTAACTTAAGTTATAAATTTTTTAATTCATACACACATTAAATCTATCATCAAATCTCTTTCCAATAGTTTCCAATACTCATCAAATTTCCCATATTTTTATTCCTTCAACGCAAACCAATTAAACTCAAAGAAAATTAAGTCTAATGTTTTTCCTCTACAATAACCAACATAAGAGTTGAATTATCTACCGAAAATCATAGTTTTTAACTCAAGTTTCGATTTGATCCAACCCCATTTATCCCTCCTATCACACATAGCAGCAACGAAAATGAAGAAATCACATCCAAGCCAAATAACACACACAGGATTAGCAAGGAGGAAGGGAGAAGACCCTCACCTCAGATTAGCAATGGTAGAAGCAGGACGAAGAAGAAAGTGCACAAACAAGGAAGGGGAGGAAGGAGTCCAACACACTCCACAGCCATGCCAGAACAGTGACGCACTTGGACGATGTTGCTGCTTGAAGAGAGAAGAGAGAACCTTACGGCCGAATAAGGGAAGAAGGAGAAGCTCTGACAATGACGGATGCTCCACGGCCATAGGCGATCATGAAATCATGGAGGAAGAAGATGGAGGGAGAGGAAGACTGAGATTTGAGCTTAATTGGTTTGTGGTGAAGGAATAAAAATTTGAGAAGTTTGATGAACTCAAACATTAGCAAGGAGTTTTTGCAAATTTAGCCTATATTATAAGATCAAACTAATTAACCAGCCAAATATATATTATATTTTGTATTATAGCTGATTTATTATATTTGTCAATAATATACCATTATATATTAATAAAAAAATATTATATATTAATGATAAATCTTTTATATGTTAATGAGAATTAGCCACATTCTCAATTTTTAAAAAATTTAGTTCATATTTTTTACATAGAAGACTTTTTTCGATCAATGGGCCAATTTATCTTTAGTAATGTTACTTGTAATCATTTATAAAAAAGCTTATGAAACTCATAAAAAAACTTTTGGCAATAAAAAAAATAAACATTGATAAAAACTTGTACATATTATTTTTTTAACAAGTCACTATTAGTAATTTAAGAAGCACTAACCATTTTTGCATTGACAAATTCTCATTATTAACTTTGACAATTTCTCTTAATAATTTAACAAGTAAGTATTATATTTACAAAAATTGATATATATTAAATTTTTTAACAAGTCTCCGTTAGTGATTTCACAAATAATTATTTCTAAAATGACAAGTCGTGTTAAGCTCCTGAATCTTCATAAGTATTGATTTGAAAACTAAAAACAAAGTTAATCATATACATAAATTTGTGCATTATATAATTAAAAAATATTGATAGTTTATTGCAATTAATCCTTTTGGTGATCAAAGGATTGTGGGTTCAAGTCCCTCTTGGCTACTTTGAAAATTTAATTGTCATCAAAACCTTAGTTGTCAGCAACTTGTTTAGCTCCGATTATAGTTGGTGTGTGTTTCAGCAGTCGGTGATAATGATGAAAATTTTTCCAAAACAAAAATATATATATGAAGGATAATTTAGGTACTTTTTCATGATAAATGTTGTTAATTAGTCCTTGGATGCGGTTTTTTCAGATTTTGGTAGTTAATCATAATTAAAAGGAATTTTTATTAGAAAAAAATAAAAGAAATAACCATTGCCAAATAAATGGTACAAAACGTAAAGATTTTGACTTTTTTTAGCCAGCAATTTCTACATATGGTGATGATAAGAAGCAAGGCGTGAGCTTGCACGTTTGAGAAATGGGCATTAACGAGGCCTAGGGCAAGGAATAATAAGAAGAAGAAATTAAAAAAGCGTGGCCTCGCTGGAAGAATAACAACCTCAAGATTTTAGTCAAGCCCACAAGTAACGGTATAAGAGTGAGCCCTTCACTTTGGGCGCGAAACGTGGATTTAACATCGAAATACAGTTACTAACTTCAGGGAAAAGACTGGGAGAGATAGAGAGATAAGTTTTCTTTCCACATTTCACAAAGAATCAAGGATTGCTTTCTCTGATCACATCATAATCTCACACACACACACATACAGAGAGAGAGAGAGAGAGAGAGGATAGAACGACATAGAATAGAGGGAAGAAAAGGCAAAAATGGCACAGGCACAAACGTTAAAGGAGGAGAAGAGCAATATCCAAGAAACTACAACGCCCAGTCCCACCTTCAAGTTGAATGCTCAAGCACCTGAATTTGTGCCCAGATCGCATTCCCAGATGCCGATTTCGGGTTATTTCTATCCCTTCTTTCATATTCTCGGCGGGGCTGGTGCTTCTGATTGGTTCCCTGGTGGCGATCAGGATCCTTCCTCCCGTTTAATATCCACGACAAATGTGGCACTCCCCAACTGCTCGAAGAATGTCCTCACTCATGATCTTCAGCAGAAAATCGTTAAACAGGTTGCCTTCCGCTCTTTCCTCACCTTTCTGTGTTTCCGTCTCATTGTTATTGATTTTGCGCAGTATCCCTTAATACATTAGCCATATGTTCTGGCATTTTCTGTTTGGAATAATCTTTATCGATATGACCGTGCATGCGTTGCCTTTCCACTGTCTTGAGATTTGGGTTTCCGTATTGTTTGGTCTTGATTTCATAACGTTCTTCTTATTGCCTTTGTCATCTGTTCTATTTTGCTTATGCATGATCTTTATCATTGGACGCCATATCCATCGTCTTTTTAACTTTTACCTTTCTTCTTTCTTTTCACTGTCTTGAATCTTTTATTTTTGTAAAAGATCAAACCGGTTTTCTGGCCCTCTTTCATTTTTTTGTTGACGTCTTCGTCGGCATTTTCTAACTGATTTCTCATGGCTTATTTCTTCTGTTCGGTTTTGTTTCTTGATGATCATTAAGACCACATTAGCTTTGGCTTTTAAACTTATTTTCTTCCTTCCTTTTACTGTCTTGGATTTTAGAATTAATTAGAAGAAATTTTTTTTGGGGGGTTTCCATCTGTTAGTGTTGAATTATTGGAATATTTTCAACATTTGTCATCTGTTCTATTTTGTTTTTGGATAACGTTTATCATAACGATCCTATATGCATTGCCTCTCTGCTTTCTTTTCTTCTTTCCTTTTTAATATCTTGGGATTTATTATGAATTTTCTCTATTACATTCTCTTTCTTATGTTATTCAGAAATTGATTTACATTAACTAAATAATGCCGGGGATATAATATTTGAGCTATGCAGCTTATCAATTTATAAATATTGTGGATATAATATATAGGTTGAGTATCAGTTCAGTGACATGAGTTTGCTAGCAAACGAATCTTTCCAGAAACAGATGAATAAGGACCCTGAAGGTTATGGTAAGGATTTTAGAATGGCATTTGTCAAAAACTCTTCCTTTCCTTCGTAGATAGTTCATATAATTGGTGGGTGTTGATTTTTCAACAGTTCCTATATCCCTTATCGCTTCCACAAAAAAGGTGAAGTCCCTCACTAGAAACATTCATCTACTTACCCAAGCACTTCGTTCTTCTTCAAAACTTGTAAGTCTTTTGAATGGATATGATATGTGTGTCAAGATGTAGAATTTATTAGGTCCTCTTCAGCTTGCTTCACAATTACTTTTTTGAAGGTTTTAAGTGCTGATGGAAAAAAAGTTAAACGTAAACAACCTTTCACTGATAAGGAGAAAGAGGACTTGCAGGTGAAGCTATGACATGGTTTTTGTTCACTTGGCTCATCTTAAACTGGCTAATGTACAGAGAGATTTTCATTTTGTTTTTCAGTCTCGTACTGTTGTGGTTGAGAATTTACCTGAAGACCATTCCCACGAAAATCTCATGAAAATATTTAGTGTCGTTGGAAGGTGGATTTCATTTGCCAACACTGCATTTAATCTTTGAACTTACATTCTTTCTGTTTCTTTCATCTAATAAAGACATCAATTCATACTTCATCTGTGAACAGTGTGAAAACAATCAGAATCTGCCATCCCCAGGAATCTAGTTCTCCCAGACCAAAGGGTGATCTCCTCATTAGTAACAAGGTATAGAGAATACACCATCCTATGTTTTCTTGGAGAAATTCTGAGGTAGATAAATATATAAATAATTTACAGTCTAAATCATTCACGAATAGACATGTAAGACGAATGAATGATTTTGCAAAACTTACCTTTGGCATACTTATATGTCTATTCTTCATTGGCTTGGTGAATCTACCTGTGAATTTCGTTGATTTGGTGGCTAGAAGGCACTTGATTTTTCCTTACCTTTGCTTGCTTGTGCATCTCTTAGCTACATGCACTTGTGGAGTATGAGACACCATATGTAGCTGAGAAAGCGGTGAGTTACACTCTTTAGATATTTCGGGTAAAGATGCATAGTATACGCCTCTTTTTTCTTTTAACAGGAATTACTTGATCGATCAGGTTGACAAGCTAAAAGATGATAGGAATTGGAGAAATGGGATGCGAGTTAGGCTGCTGCTTAGGTGCTCGGTACATATACCTGATATATAAATCTTGTTTCATATCTTGTGCTCTTGAATTTCTCCTCCTCCTCTTGATGGGATTTCATGTAACATTTGCAGCCAAGATCTGTTTTGAAGAGCAAAAAGTTGGAATTCGACGGCTTTCTTGAGGAAAATGAGATGCTAAATTCTGAACCTGCTGAGGATTCTTCTCATTCAAACAACACTGACCATTTGATAGTTCAGACTAACGTAAGCGTCATTTTGCTCATTTCTTCAAAGTCTAAACTCTTAACTGTATGTCTTATCTTATATGTTAAATACAAAATAAATGTTGGGAATACTTAGTAACTTAGATCTCTAAAAAAGTACAGACTAGCTGAAGAGGACGTCTGACGAACGCTTGTTAACAAAACTTTTCCAAAATAAAACATATAATGCAATATAACCCTGGGACATTAAGAAAGTAGCCTCTCATTATTGCCTCTTCCAAAAGAGTCTTTCCAAGTGCTATAATTAGTTAAAAATTCCGATAAAAAAAAACCTCAAGAATTGAAGAAACTAATAGGTAAATCTGCATGGTAGATCAAATCGCTTAGGAAAAGGTAACATAGCCAAGTCAGCTGCACTTTTTAATAAAACTCTCCCCTTACTGTGTAGACTTGGCAGCTCGTTTGATAGCATGAGAAATAATCTTATCCTTATTTTATTAATGTAAAAGGAAAAGACACGTGTTATTAAATAATAATAAGATCATGACAAACATAAGAAAGAGCAGAACTTTCTTTTCCACCTGCATCTCATCATTCCAAATTGAACTTGGGTTTGTCTGAACATTTTGAATGAAGCGTATCTAAGTTGCTTTTATTGGTTAGGTGGAAGAAAATGGAGTGGGATCAAAGAAAGGATGGGGAAGAGGACGTGGGAAGGGAAGAGGACGTGGCCTGCTTGCTCTGCCATGTCAACCAAGTAGCAGCCCTGCTGTTGTAGTGAGTGAAGGAGGCTCTGCAAAACCCAACACCAAGGGCCCCAGAATGCCCGATGGCACCAGAGGCTTCACCATGGGAAGGGGCAAGCCAACCACTTCTTCTTCTTCTTCTGCTCTACCAGGGTCATCTCAAGAGTAATAATGGCCCACGCGCTCTTGCTCAAATTTTGTTCTCTTCTCTCTGCTTCCATGATATAGTTTTGATTGTTTACTCTTAATACTCCTGTTTTTTTTTGTAACATTTTCTTTTACTCATTGTAAACACTTTATTTTAGCAGTGGATAACAAATTTTCTATATGCCTTCCTAATGCTAAATAACCCCTGGACTTGTCAATGTATGCGTTTATCATCAAGAAAGAAATGAAAGAAAAAAGGTTGATCAGATTATACTTTTTCCATTATTCATATTTGTTGGAGTATATTTTAAATTTCATAAATATTTAGGTGTCTGAGCGATTGGAGTTTGGAATTGGATGGCAGATATCATGAGTTTGATTCCTATCACAAAAGAAATAAAAAGAAAATATAAGGGCAAACATGCCCTCGGTGTCTTGAAGGTTCCACTACTTAAAGCACATGCTTGAAACATGACACGAGATGATGGTGAAGACTTGAACTTATGATTCATGTATTAAGAAATTCTGTATTTGTTAAAAGAGTGTGGCAGAGACTGATTCCTGAACAGAGTATGCATGCTTTTATGAACTTACCTATTAATTAATAATAAATGGCTTGAACATAACTTACCTTTTTGCTAATTGTGGAATTGTGCTGAGAGCTGATATGGCTTGTGGCCAGGGATTGATTGTTCTCTGTTGGATTTGATCCTCTGAAATAGCATTTGGTATTCTGGAGTTGTGGGAGAAAAAAAAAACTAAAAAGAGAGTCTCACTCCTCAACACTAAAACCAATATTGATGATTAACTCATCAAAATCAAGGAAAGTTAGTTAGAATAATAAAATTGTCTTAAAAATAAATCACTTTTCAATTTTTTCCTTAAATTTAAAAAAAACGATTTAATATGTGGAAGAGTTTTCATAAAAAAATAAATTCTTGCACTGCTTTTTAGAATTTGTTGGAGGATGTTTTGAAATTATACATTAAAGGTTAAAAAAATCAAAAGAAAATGACTTTTTAAAATATGACTTATAATTAAAATAGTATGGAGTACTCAAACCAGTGAAGACTGAATAACGCCTCATCTTCTTTTGTCATGTTACGTGACTCCTTTTCATTTGCTAGGCCATCATAATCGAACTCACACATACACTCGGAGTCCAATATTGGTTTTTTTGGTAATTGGAGTCTTTATTTGGGCCAATACTTGATGCACTGAATCGTGCCTTGCTATGTTTGAAACATTGAATCATGTGAATTTTAATCTTAGCTTTCTAATGTTTTAGATTTTAATATTTTATTGGAGATTCATAAAATTTTTGTAATTAAAACATGGGTTGTGCAAATTGAACATTTATCATTGGAAAAGAAACAATATCAATGACTTATTATCATACAGGAACAGTACCATTATGTATGATAAATTTTAAAACTATTAATATGTGGCCAATGATTCCAATTGATTGCTTTGCTAATAATGCGAAAGTTATATGTTCGAAATCCGCCTTTGGAAATATTTGAAAAAATATTCACCGGAAAAAGAAATATTTGAAAAAAAAAAGTTATAGTAGGTGGATCACGGTTTTTTAAAATATCATTTCAAAAAAATTGATGCTCATAATTGAAAAAATACTGTTTAAAGTTAATGGCATTTAAAGCATAATACCACTATACATGAATAATTTAAAAATAATAAATATGTGGCCTATGAGCTTAACTCAGTTGGTTAGAGCGTTGTGCTCATAACGCGAAGGTCGCAGGTTTGAGACCTGCATGGGCCATATTTTTCTTTTTTATTTTTTGTTTATAACATTTAAAAATTAATGCTATTATATATGATTAATTTAAATTAAGTAATATGTGATCTATTAGTTTAGTTGGTTAGAGCGTTGTGCTAATAACAATAACAACGCAAGTCTTGCAAGTTCAAGACTTGGATGGGCTTGTTTGTCAGAAAATTGGATGAGGTCCCATGTTTGAGGCCTATATCTTAGAGTGAATGATAGAATTTTTTTAAATAAATAAATTATGAAAATGAATCATAAAATTGGGCTAATTATTTTGAAGTTTCTAAGTACTTTATGAAATTATTTTTTTTTGGGAGAAAAGATCATATTGTCCATTCCAAAAAAAAAGTTCCACCACCACTCGTCGCCAGATGTTACACTGTCAACTAATGGAGCTTCAGAGACCGGAGAATTATTGGAAGAGGTAAATGACTAGTCAAGTCAAGTCAACGCAAGTAGTTTTGGCATATGTCAAGAAACAATTATCCAGTTACAACTAATTAATTTCCTGTGAAATTTATTTCATCAGTGTTTAAATCAATGGGTTCCCGAAATTATAGTGGCTAGTTAAGTTAAAACAATGATTAGTTCGCTTTAGAAAATGACAAAAAAAAAATCTTAACAAATGACAGCCAATTTCCTAAAAAAATTACTACAAATTAAAGTTTATAATTAGAAGCTGGGGTTTCAATTTTAAAAAACTTACAGAAATGAAAAGAGAGGTGGGAAAGTTAATGGAGAATAGTGGGGGTGGTGTTCATCATCTTCCAAGTTCACTGAATGAGAGCACAATGACTTCCATTACCATTGTCACGTGAAATATTATATTGTCAACTATCCTCAAAATTATAATAATAATACGACAATATGATAAAAGTAAATCAAGTGTAATTAGTAAAATAATGAACTTGGTAGAGAAATTACATGTGTGATGTGAGTATACAAATTAATTCATTTAATTTATCTAGTCGTTCATTTAAAGAAAATTATAAAAAAAATCATGACTGTATATCAACACCTCTTCTTTATATTTATTTAATATCTCCAAATATATATTTTACGTTTTGAGTGTATAAAAAAAACTCAAATTGTAAACTATAAAGTAATTAAATTACTGTTATTTGCCGGAGTAAGTGAATCCCACTTAAATTAATACGAAGATCAGATTTATCTTATCTTCAAGCATGCACAGTGCATAGTGCGGACACAGTGCGTGGTCTACTCTTGAGCAAGCTAATTTTTTTCCAATTATCTTTCAAATGTGAGATCCTAGTCATTCTCAGTTCTGAAAATTTTCTACCAATCAACCTTTTTGTTTTGCAATTGCTATTTCACGTCATATCAACTTACAAATCTGCATTTTCCCATTCATTAAATAATTATTAGTATAGTGTACAAGACATTTTTATTAGTTTTAGTCCATAAAGTAATTATCTTTCTTTAATTATTATGGGTGAAAATATCTTTTTTTTTATTTTTTACAAAATGTACAATATACTTTTAATAAAATAAAAACCATTACAAATGTAAATAAAATATGGAGATTGAGTGAAATTTATGTAATAAAATCAAGAGAATTCTATGGCTGAAATTTACAAGTAATAAGTATATAAGCCCACATCCATACTCCCACGCATAGTAATTATGAAATTGCGTTCAAAGCTCAAAGACATATCATGCATATATTGAAAAACAAACTGGTTATTAAACCATTAAAGAGTTAATGGTTAAAATTGTAATCAAACCCTAGTGCAACTATTCATAAATAAAACACTTTATTGAGGTAGCAATGGTTTGTCTAGGTTGGTTTTGAATACTATAGTGATGATCACAAAAAAAAAACAAAAGAAAAGAAAATACTAATAAAATAATGGTCGTGTAAGAATAATGTCAAAAGTTTTGGCTGCGCACGAGCAATTAGCTAGGTTTTAGCAATGATAATGGAAGGAGCACTTGTAAGATAAACCAATGAGTTGAATCAGACATTCTGTCATGCTTTGTACACATTGGAATGTTCTGCACAGGAACAATAACATAGTTTAATTCAATGAAAATGGTTGGTACGTAGTTTGTGTGTGTTTATATATGAGCAACCTTGAAGTCTGACGCATGTTTACGAATAAAGAGGAAGCAGGACTTATGAACCGTTAACTCAAGCCATGGCTTCTTCCAATAACACAGTCGTGTGGTGGTACCTCATGAGTATATTCATGTGGTGCAGTGTTTGGTTGTGTCCCCTCAAGGTTCAAACGTTTCCTGCGTATGATTATCCTCCCCGTGGAAGCCAAGACAAGAGCCTAGATTACAACTTCTACGGCACGACATGCCCTAACTTGCTCTTTATTGTTCGTTCTGCCGTCTGGTCTGCCATCAACAACGACCCCAGAATGGCTGCCTCCCTCCTTCGCCTTCACTTCCACGATTGTATTGTCAATGTTTGTAATCCCGCTCTCTCTCGCTCTCTCTTATAACTAGTGCGTGCTTTAATTAATATTCTCATTTATTATAGTTCAACTTTCTCCGTCTTCATCTTTATTATGTGCATGTAATTGCATACTAGTTAATTTTCTTTTTTTTTTATTAAAAAAATAAAAATTTCATCTTTTTCATCTATCATTTCCCATGAATTCTAATTCAACTTGTTGAAATTTTATATATCAAGTGTGGATAGATTTGACTTGGTATGGAGAGAGAGAGAGAGAGAAGTCCCGCATCTCAGTTATATAATTAGACTGAAAACACATATACTTAAGATTATGGGCTAATATATGAAATCGCCATGCCAAAAACTACCCCTGTGCAGTTCTCATGATTTTTTCGGTCAACGTACGCTTTTAATTGTATGAGTGGACTTGTAGAATGAAAGACGGATATATTCTGTTTAAAAAGGTTTATGTTACTTATCTGGCATGTAGTGGGATTTTGTTGTGAAAATTCTCATTTGAAATTGAAGGTATGTTCTTGAATATTGTTGAATTATTTTGCGATTTCTTTGAGTACAAAAATCTAAGATAAATAGTATTAATTTGAGAAAAGATCAGATTAGATTAAAGAAATACAAATGCAAATACAAAAAAATATTTAAGGGGGGAAAAAAACAGATCCATGACTTTGTCCGATACATGCAGCATTACTATAGCGGTGCGTGCTCACTTGCCTGCCAGTGCCTGGCCTGTCTATACTTTGCAGGTTGCATCAAGATTCCATACCCCAAACAGCCACGCATGAAATTCTTAAAATAAAAGATCACGCACAAAATTTTATAATATTTTCTGTGCTTTGAGGGGGGAAAAAAGTCCCTTCCTATATTTATCACAAACAAATATGAAGACAAAATGGCGAATAAATATAATTTAGGGGACATGTTCAAGTTAAGAATGAAAAAGAAAAGAGGAAAACGGAAGCAGGGTGTAAAAAGCTGAGGATATGATATGATGAAGAAGAGGATAATGTGTGGGTGCAGGGATGCGATGGATCAGTACTGCTGGATGACACGGAGGACATGAAAGGAGAAAAGAACGCCGGCCCCAACCAGAATTCCCTCCGAGGATTTCAAGTCATCGACTCCATCAAAGCCCGCCTCGAAACCTACTGTCCCTCCACTGTCTCCTGTGCCGACATCCTAGCCCTCGCTGCCAGAGAAGCTGTCCTCCAGGTTCCTCCCTTTTCATTGATCAGGCGTTCATTCATCTCATGGTTAACTTATTTTATATATATATATATATAACACAATCTCATATATTACATATCAGGCTGGAGGGCCATCTTGGCCCGTTGGATTAGGCCGCAGAGATTCTGTCACTGCAAGCATGGACGCGGCCAATCGGCAGATCCCCACACCTTTCGAGCCTCTTCAAAACATCACCGCCAAGTTCACTTCCAAAGGTCTTGACTTGAGGGACGTCGTTGTGCTCTCAGGAGGACACACCATTGGATTTGCACAGTGCTTCACTTTCAAAGGGAGGCTCTTCGACTTCGATGGGTCGGGCAAACCGGATCCGGGGATGGATTCGGCTCTTCTCTCGGGTTTGCGGAGAATGTGTCCCAACAGAAACTCTTCCAATAGGAACCTGGCTCCTCTGGATGCTGCTTCCTTTTCCAGATTCGACAACGCCTATTACACCAACCTCGTCAAGAACTCTGGCCTCCTTCAATCGGATCAAGTTCTTAAGGCAGATCCCGCCACTGTTAATCTGGTGAATTACTATAGTCTCGACCAGTTCGCCTTCTTCATTGACTTCGCTGCCTCCATGGCTAAGCTCAGTAGTGTCGGGGTTCTCACGGGCCAGAATGGCCAGGTCAGACTCAAGTGTGGTTCCGTTAATCAATATTAAAAACAGAAGCCTCTCTATTTGATCACTTGATTGTGTATAGTAGTTTAATACACACACACACACTCACACTCTGCTGGGTAGATAATTACCCATCACTTTGAATACTGCTGGTGGAGTAGCCTTCGTGTGCTCGACTCTGTAGAAAATTAAGTGCTTCATCAGGGTACCATAAAAGGCCCTGTTAATTAACTGTAATATAATATACAGCCGTTGTGATCCGTTGCTAGCTAAATGGGGAGTTTTAATGTAATATGAAAAATCGAATTAGTCAAACTAGTATATTATTAAATCAATAGTTTTACCGGTTGAATGAATTATTTTGCTTATGACCAGTTTAATTACAATTTAACTGTAGTTTTAAATCATCAACTCTAGAACTAATACTTGATTGAACTAATCAAGGCGGATTTTCAATACCTCAATTTTAAATGTTAATAAAAGTTTTATAATACCCCACTATAGCTTTTGCAGTTTGGCTTTTTTTTTTTTGGGTGAGTTCTAATTTTTCAGATCTTTGACTCAGATTAATTTAATTGGCAATTGAGAGTATCTTTTTAAAAGGCATACCTCCTATAAATAATTTAATTACTACTGCATAATTAAAACTTGAACTCAAGATTACTGATTAAGTTGGGTCAATCCATTTATTATTTTGATTGATTTTAATTAGGGATAATTACTTTAAAGCCTTAATCAAAATAATTAATTACTTTCAGATCCATTAACAAGTTGTCAATGAATTTGAAAGTAATTAATTATTAATTGTTAATAGATTTGAATTGTTAATGGATCTGAAAGTAATTAATTTTTAATTGTTAATAGATTTGAAAGTAATTAATTGTTTTAAGTAAGATTTATATATAATTCTTTCATTTAATAATCTAAACTATAGAAAACATGGCTGAAGGCCCTGACACGCTGGCAACAGAACCTTAATCTTCAAGTATATACCAACAGACCAGATTTCACACTTGTTGAACAATTTGGGCCAATGGGAAACAACATCACCAATCCAATCCGAGTTCCTTTCCAATATACACACACTAGCACAGTTTGCATAATTTAAGAGACAAAAATACAAGAATAAATCTTATTCAATGTATAAAATTTGTTATTATGTATCTGTCTTTCCAAGTGCCGTTGGAAAGGATTTTTTATCGGGTATCGTTCTGTCCTTTCCATTTTCATTATATCATCATACGTATATCATAAATACAGTGAAGAAGTTAGAAGAGTCACGTCTCTGCTTTCGTATGTCTCCATGTTCCAGAGAGAGTTGTGATGCCAAAAAAGCATCAGAGAATGCATTCGGAAAAGAAGCCGACAAGTTGTGCGCAGAGTCAGAAAAGAGTTTATTCAAAAGTCAATACCCTGCCCCCATTTGCTTTTTGTAGAGTCGCCTCGATTTTAATCAACTCGCTCACCGAACACAATTTCTATTATCTATTCTACTTGAACTCTGAAAATAGCTACCCGGGCCCGTAGGTATCTCATTTTGGCATTTTGCACAACTGATTCTGCTTGATTTTAGGTCCAAAATGTAGTCATAAATATTCTTAAGAATAAGCGGATAAGAACGAGTCTGTTTAGTGCAGTTTGTACGTAGCAGATAATAATAGAGCTGAATAATGGAAATAGTGGGTGGGGAGGTGGTCCAATTAGAGCATAGTGCGTATCTCAAAAAAGAGAGAGGCCTCAAACTTTGAAGTATTATTGATTATTGAAGTACTATACCTTTTGTTATTTGAAAATTGAGAATTGTTTGGAGAACAATAATGATGATGATGTTCAACTTTTTGACCTTCAAAGGGCCAAAAGCTTGATGAGCTTTTCTCTTCCCTATGTAATGTAGCCGAGAGAATTCAGTATTTCATGATTTGCTTCGTCATGCGAAGCTCCTCTGTTGTCCTTGTTCGCTTTATGCTCCATTCGGTACATCTTGCATGTTCTAACTTAAGATGGTAGCCATAATTTTTACAGATGTTTACAAGATTTACTTTTAAACTATTCGAGACTTCTTCCGAATTGTTGTGTTTTTCCATGATATGGATTCTCCAATATTATGTTCTTTCACGTCCAAAAAAGAAAAAGCATCATTCTCTCAAGTAATGTCTAGATATTTTTTAAATTTTGCCACGAAACAGGATGTTTATTATTGCTTTTCTTTCTGATCGATGGTGACTTAGTTTTCAAACAATAATTGATGACATCTATCAACCATAATGCTCTCATAGCTGGTCTTCATGTGTTGATTGTTTAAAAAGTTTGCACCGCACGGCTTTTTTTTTTCCCCTTGAATTGATTCTGCATTGACGACTGGTACATTCTACAATTTACTTGAACTTTATGCCTTTATTTAGAATGGAAAAGAAAAATTAGCAGAAAAATATATTTTTCATTCTATTTTTTTCCCCTAATGAGAGAAAACATAAAAAAAAAACTTTATATTAAGGTGAGAATACTTTTTTCTTCAATTTTTAATGTCCTCATATTTTCAGTCTTTTCGCATTTTAAAAGGAGGGTGCGTATATTTCTTTTTTTCTGCTGAAAGAAAGAGAGTGGGAGAAGCAGAGTAATTATGAATAATTAAGTTGAGGAAAATGACGAGACCCAGCAGAAAGGAGCGTGCCAGTAAAAACAAGAGTGAAAATCACTTGCGCCCCTATCAAAATATGGGAGTGATTGAGATTTGAGATCTGGCGATCCTGGGTCTGCATGATAAGGTACTTGATAAAATCTTGGAGGGCCAAAAAAGTAAAGTAGAAAGGTCACTTCTTGTTAGTGGGAAGCTTGCATCGCAACATCCTTTCTCACTCCTTCAGTTCTACCGAATTCCTCCGACTCGCCCTTCGATCCCCCTACACTCCTCACCACTCACCAAGCGGAAAGCCTTCACTTTTTTTTAACTCCCTAATTTGTTTTCAAATCATTTTAACAAATCCGCTCTACATACCGTACAACTTCTTCCACTTGTCTAATTTCTTTTGTTCGAATCAAAACATTACGAAATAATTCATATATTTATTGATAAAGTCTAAGATATTGAATTTGAGAGTTCTTCTTTCTATTCAAATTTAAGAATATCTAAATCTGAATATTTGATAGTGTACCCCCTTTTTTCAAGAGATAGCACACCAATTAGGATTGGAAGGTACTGAATTTCAACCTAACCCAAAATTTGATCTCTTTTATGAAAAATATTAAGTTAGATAACCCGTAGTTTGATTTTATTCAATGATAACTTAAAAATTAACAGGACCAAACTTAATCTATAAGATTGAAAGATTGGTTTTGTTAGTCCCATACTTATTTAACTATTTTTTTATGAGAGGCAATAATTCATTTAAATCTAATAGATTCAATTAAGGTAATAAAATCACTTATAATCATAATAAATCCAAAACAATTTCCAATAACAAGAAAGAAATATTTCAACTACATTCTAAATAGTTTAACTTCAACAAAAATAACACTCAATAAATTATAACAACAGTATATTATAACAATAATTTAGAAACAAACTCAATAAATTTTTATGCAATTATCTCTTTAGCTTCAATTATACTTGAAGCATTTGTTAAAAATAAATTAATTATAATTATATTAAATAAATTTATAGAACTTGACTAGACCAAGTGGTCTAAATATCTAATCATCTATTTAATCCAATCCAAAAAAATTACGTAATTTTTATTTTTTTAAAATTTTAAATGATTAATATTTATAAGGATCAAATATAATAAGATTATTTTAAATTGAACTGAATCAAATAGGAAGACTTTTGTATAGACTTAACACTAACTATAAAAATAGTTTTGATTTGTTTTTAAAAGAAAATCAAAAAAAGAGAAGGAGAGGAAACAATCAGAGTCTCTGTAAGACTGTATCAAAAGCTGTTTTTTTTCCTTGGGAGTTACCCCAACACTTATAACAGGGTTTAGGTCCTTTCAGGACAATTACTCAATTGCACTTTACCGGTGTCATATATTCTTATTCTTATTATCAACACCACCTTATTAATTTGGGTAAAAGGAAAACGAGCCCACGAGTAAAAAGCAAACACAACATACCCACCTCTTCTCTCTCTGTCTCAACTCCAAACACTCCATCGTTTCTCTTTCTTCTTCTTCTTCTTCCTCTAAAGTCTAAACCCACAAAAACTTTCCTTCTTCCTCAGCATTTGTTCAAGACCCCAAACCATAAATTCCCACCATACACGCCTTTTTTATTTGTTTTATGTTTTCTGTGAGTTCTGTTTCAGAGCTTAAACCTCCAAACCTCGTGCCATGTCCTCCACCACTCCAATGGCGAATCAGCCACCTCCCCAGATGCAGCTGAGCCAGCAGACATACCCGACTCGTTCTCCTCACGGGTCTGTGGGGCCCGTGATCGCTGTTCTGGCCGTCATCACGGTTCTGGGAGTCATAGCAGGAATGATAGGCAGGCTCTGTTCGGGTCGCCGGGTCATGGGCGTGGGAGAGTACGACATGGAAAGCTGGGTGGAGACCAAATGCTCGTCCTGCGTCGACGGTAGAATCCCCTCTCCCCCTCCACGGCGGCCCTCGCAGCCAGCGGCGGAAGATGTCGGGACGCCGGAGGAGGAGGCGGCGGTGCAAGAGGCAAGAGAAGATGAAGAACAAGAAGCGCAGGCAGAAACAGCAGGTGGGCCACAGTCATAGAAGAGGCGAAGTAGGAATATATATATATATATATATATATAAGAGCATTGTATGATTCACGAATTGGTATGTTGGGTGAATGAATGTAGTTTGTGTTTGAAGTGTGAACATACAGAAATCGAATCGAAATGGAAAAGGGAATGGGTTTAACAAATGACAAATGTAATGGCTGCCATTATGAGCTGCCCTTGGGTGCCTGTCCTCTGTCTGCTTCCCTTTCCAACGTTCCATGTTACCCTTCTCAGCTTTTTTTCATGCCTTTTTCTCTTGCTCATTTTTCATTAGCCTTATTTATTTGACACTTTCAACATATTAAGACTTGTATGTTTTAATAACATATATTTTTATTGTTAAGAACTATGGTTCAATCCGCAAGAATTTGGATATTAACTTATAAAATGTTTCGGTGAGGGTCTTGCTAATAGAAGATCTGTAAATACTTGTATAACTTTAAGTACAAGGGCATGTTCAAGTCCAGCAGCTCTAGAGTTTAGGCCCAACTCATTTAAAATTTTGACTTTGATTAACAAAATGTACTTTATTTTATTAATATTTAATGAAAATTAGAATAAAAAATTTGTGATAAAAAAATTAATAACATGCTTTACATAAAAAGATAAAATAATCATTTTCTCTTGATTTGATAAATAAGAAAGTAGGGAATGCAATACAATTTTTTTCTTCCAGACTTTGGGGCAATCCAACTTTAATCCAAACAAGGCTTTGTACTATCTGATATCTTAACCTCATTTATTTTGCAATATGTCTTATATTAATTAGAGGAAAATGCAAGTTATTTTACAGTGGTGGGACCTGTTAGTTTGTCCTCATGTCAAAACCAATAAGTCATTTACTTAACATAATGTTAAGAGGGTTTGTTATGAATTTAAAAGTTGAGGAGATAAATTGTACAACAAATGAGTTTAGAATATTTAGTACTATTCAACCCATAATTTAGTAGGTAAATTACCTTTTAACCCTCTTTACTTCAATTTAATTTTGAAAGAATCATATTCAAGGACTTCTTAAGAGAATTATTCACAAACAATAATTAATATAAAATTATTTCTTATTAAAAAAGTAATAATAACTTGTTTTTTCTTAAATAGTATCTTATTATTGATCTTTATTTATAAATAATCTCTTTAAGAAGTTCTTGAATGCAGATTTTTCTTTTATTTTTGGAAAAACAAAATTTTTACTCCTTATAATTTTATCAGATTTTATTTTTAGTCTCTGTAATTTTTTTCAAATTTTTTAGTTCTTATAATTTTAAAAATATTGGATAATTTTTATTTTTTAAGTCCCTATAACTTTTATTTTTTTAGTGATTGGAAATATTAAAAAAAATTAAAAAATTAAAAGTAAAACTATCTAACCATAAAAGCCACATGATCTAATGTCGATGCATATCCCCCAACATTATTATTGACATTCAATTGCAACATCACTGAATTAATTTATTAATTAATTATTTAATAAAAGGTCACGGTAAAATGGTGTCAGGCACGATAATAAATTCACGTCAAAACACATGAGGTGTCTTCCAGCTAGAGGCGGATCAACAAAAATTATATGGTGTTCAAATTATTGTTAGAAAGCCAACGAGCAAATAAATTTACATATCTATTTGCTTTTCTGGCTATAAGTTATCATCCAATCTCCAACAAGAAGGTTCCTCATCTTCTTGATATTAGCATAGAGAAGGTGGTCCTGAGTGAAATCAAAATCATACAATGATACAATATCAAACATCTATGTACCTGCACGCAAGTTCTTGAACGATCCAGGATCTTCTTTTTTATTAAATAAAAAATCTATATGTTGTCACGGTTGTGGGTTGGCCCCTCGCTTTGCTTTTCTTTCTTCTCAGTACAATATATTCTCTTTGGATCTATGATAGCATATCTAGCAAGATTTTTTAATTCTTAATATAAGATATACGGAGTTATTTATTATCATTTTTAAATTTTATCTCTATTATAAAATTATTTTTTAAACACATCATATTCTGTGTATATCTCCTCCATTTTTTACAGGGGTAAAGTTGGGAAAATTTTTCATTTAAAGACATTTAATAATTTAACTATCGTTTCTTGGATTGGAGGGAGTAATTAAGTAATCACTATTAATTAACCATAGTTGACCATTGTTATTAGGAAACTAATAAAACTTAAAGGGAAAATTAGGTATAGGTTTTATGGAAATATGGAATAGACTTCTTTATAAATAAGTCTTGCAAATTTTAAAAATCATGGCTAGATCTCTTAAGATCTAAGTGCAATTTTAAATTAGGATAAAAAGATAATATTGTCCATATGTATTATGGTTAACTATCAGATATGTAAAGTTATAGTTACAAAATATTAAAATAATAAGTGTAAATTATTGATGAATAATTAATATTAAACTTTATTAGTAATGTGTGATTGGTTTAACTATTAGATATGCAAAATTATAATTGTAAAATATTGAAGTGATATTTATAAATTATTAATCTAGTAATTGTATATAAAAGGTATTAAATTTGTAATGCATGATTATTTTCATTATTGGACATATAAAGTTACAATTGTAAAATATTAAAATGATATTTATAAATTAATAATGAAGAAGTTGTAAATTATTTGATTGATGTAGTGTATTTTTAATAAGGTCGTTATTGCTTTCTTGTACTCTAATTTCAAATTATACTTCAATCCTAATGAACCTGGCTATAGTTTCTCAATTTCACAAAATTTATTTGCATGTGTTTTATGGGGGGACTTCGACGTGGTTTTTCCAAGCTTAAATTATCATGAACTCCACAAAAATCATTTACTTTCACATGACCCAAGCAACACTTTTTATAGGTTTAGAGGAAAAAAAATCTTAAAGATTTTTTTACAAGAGCATTGGACATTCTTTTATTTTAAAAAGAGTAACATTAGAAGCGTTAAAAGTGGAGTAATGGCGCCCTTTCTAACTTTTGACCAACGACCTTGATATGGCAAAGACTCCTTTTATTTGCTCTCATCACTACAGCTTTTTGTGAGCCTCTTCACAACCCTAGAAGTAGAAGTAGAAACTTGACCTCGCCTTAGACTTGGGTTATGTTTGACCTAGCAATCATTCCAACTCACTTGAACGGATTCCACGGAAATTAGATTTAGTTCCATGATGGGTTAATCAGAGAGACCAAATCAGCCTGGAAGTTTTTGGGTAAGCAAAGGTAGGTGCCACGTCAGTGCGAGGGGGCTTCAGTATTGACCACAAGTTCGAGTGTTTACCCAGAAAAAGCTCCGCATGCCTTGAAGATTCTAGAAAATGTAGGAAAGCAAAGACCCAACCATTAAGCCCTTCGCGAAGAAGATTCGTTTGTAGGGGTGAATGCAACAATTCTGTAGTCTCAAAGGAAGAAGCCACTGATGTGAAGAAAGGAGGAGGACAAAAAATCCAGAAGGTGAAGAGGAAGGTAAACAAGGCACGAGTTAGTTGATAGTGAGGCAAAAAATGATCAAGAGATGTGGTGAGCTCCTATCTCAAATATTTTCCCTTGTTTAGGGCATATTTTCTTGGTTTGAATTTGAGAGCACAACTTCTAGGTGTGAGACACCGAGAGCGAGACGACATGACAACCTCTGACTTCATTCCTTCTCTCGATTTGTTGCTGCCACTTGACTTACCACATCAAAAATTTCTAGTCCTCTGTTAATCAAACGTTGGTCAGAGGTTAAAAAAGAGTGATATTGTTTCATTTTTAATACTTTTAGAGTAACATTGCTTTCCCTAAAAGATAAGGAGACTAAGTGCTCTTTTGTTTTTAAATTACTGTGACAATAATTTCCCAGTTGCAACTAACAAGCCATGCATCTTCTAAATATCATGGACCTATCAACTTATGAGTTTGAGCCACGTTTAGTAATCTGCTCGTTATCCAGTTCAAATGAAGAATCGTTCAAGCCCAATATTTTTTGGCCCTTCAATTCCGATTACACTAATTTCCATTCAACAACTGTCCCCCTTTTTTTTTTTGGCTGTGGACACTAGACAGTTTTTTTCCTATTAAGTATTAATTCCTCATGAAAAATATAATTTAGTTTTAATATGTGACCATATAAATGAATTATTTTTGGATTTTATAGATAATATTATTCAATATCTAACTTTGTAATATTATTAGTTAAAATTTTCAGAAAATTTTTCCCAATGACTAAAAGTGTTGTGGATTATAGATATTAGTTAGTTGATCCATACAATTCAAATGGCCATTTTTGAGATATATTTTATTTCTTTTAACAGGTTCCTCATATACGTGCGCGCGCGCGTGTTTCCATGAAAAGTTAATGACAGCCATTTAAAAACGACCGAAACTCTTCAATCGTAATAATATATTTTGCATATAAAAGATCTATCCTAATTAATTTAATTACTTAAGTGTAAAAAGGTATAGGGAGTTGCACTATTTGTGGGCGGTCACCAATGTCGTTCATCTTCTTTTTTGGCCAACATATAATATAGTTTATACTAAATGCATGTGCCCACTCTAAGTATAATTGATAGTTGAAAAAGTATACGGACACTTTTATATACAAGTGCGGATTCACACACACACACACACGCCACTGAAAGAAATTCAACGAAAAGATAGGGCAAAAAGATACACAAAGAGGAGGGCACTGATCCGAGAGGATATGAAGCATCCATTGGCTCTTTGGTGCATACTTGTTGTATAAAGTAGAATCACTTTGAATAGTGAGAAGCATAAGTTATATGATATGGACACCAGTATATTCTCATCCTGTCATAAATGAGATATGATCATGTTCCTTTGCGTGAAAACATATATGAAAAGAGCAGTGAATACAGTAAAGCACTATTTTATCTAGTTTTGCCAACTAAAAATGCATGTCCAAGAATCCAATAAGAGAAGAAGCTTGGAAGGATTTCTATACATACATGACAAAAGGTGGAATCACATTGTTGCAAATATTTTTATCTCACGTGATTCCAATTTATCTCCCTCACCTCCCCACTCACAGCCACATTATAAATTTGTTAATAGACACTTGATTCAATTAGTAAAAGAATTGTACTGACTTAGTTTGAGAGCTCAAGTTTGAGATTTGGGAATATAACATCGGTGGTGATCCTAATTTGATCTTAATTTAATTATACATAAATAATGGTAGATACTGGATACCGGTAATACATATCATGGTTTTGTTTAAAATTGCTTGGATCTTATCATAACTAAAATGAAATGGAAAGATGGAATGGGCTATTAGGGATGAATGAAAGGCTTAATTCCACTTTGGGATCCAAGTGGCGCCTCTACACAACAGTCATGCCCACTCAAGTCCAGTTCATGTTTATATTTATATATTCGTTCATAATATATTTGTGCCCCACACTCTCATTTGGCCTCTTCTGTACCTTCCACAATTATCTCGACAAACAAACAAAGTCAACAGAGTTAAATTATTTCCACGTGAAAATGCCACAATTACATGTCTCTTTCTCAAACTAATGTACGGTACTCATCTATTGTAATTGAAAAAAAAAAAAACAAGAGGTGATATTTTACGACCTAAAAGATACAACCTTACTCTAAGTGGCCTTTCTAATGGGGTGATTTTAATTACTTCATTTTTTATGTAATATAGGATATTTCTCCAAGATGTTGGTCTAAAACGTAGAATATTTTGTAATTTTAAAAAAAGTATTTTTTTATACCTATGTGGTTGATATGGGATGAATGATTATACATAAAAAATTATGAGTGTTAGTTGTAGACAAAGATACAATTAATTAAAAAATATGTCGACTTTTATGATATTTTAAAAATTAAATTTTCTTAAAATGTGTATGTTGGAAGTGTCCTGTATTGCAAATAAGAGGGAGTATATTTTAATTTTAATTTTGAAGAAGTGCAAAGTGAAAGAATATATTAATCATAAAGAATTGTTATTAATATAAAACCTACATAAAATGATTAAAAAAACTCACGTGAATTCAAGATGTGCGAGACATCTGACTTCTGGTTCTGGGGATGAAGAATCTAAGGCCAGTTTGTCAACTTCTCGTAAATAGCAAAGCACCTTATGCCCGGTTACAATCGTGTCATTTATGCATTCATAATGATTAACCAGCGCAGTCAGTTTTTTAATAAAAAATCACGTATTCTGAATCAAATTGCGTTTTCTTTTTTTAATTTTATTTCTTCTCGATCTAAAACAATTCAGAATCCTATCATTTCACAGTTTGCTTTAGCTTCCCATCCCATCAAACAACGAAAGGTGATTAAAATGTCAACATGGTTAAAGTTGAATTGTAATTATGAATCACTAGTGGTCAAATGCGAATTAGGTGAATCATTATTTAGCAGGGATCAAACTAGCAATGCTAGTGAGAGTTTATTCAAGTACTATTGCGGGCATTTAATTTTAATTAAGGATTAAAAAATTTTAAAATATTAATACATTTAAAAATAATTTTAGATAAAGAAAAAGGCAATAATACTCCTCTTTTTTTTTTTTAAAACACTTGCAATGGATAGTGTTTCATTAAATGTGAATGAATATTTATTAATTAATGAATAACTATTTATTAAAACATAATTTGTATATGTTCCTTTTCACAATCAAGTTTTTTAAAATTTTTAAACTTGTGTATTAATAAATGACTTCTTAAAAGAACTTAATTATGAAAAAAGATAAGTATAAATTATGTTTTAATATGTAGTCATTTATTAATTAGCAAATATTCATTCACATTTAACAAAAAATATCTACTAGATGACAAGTTTTTTTTAAAGTAGGGGTATTATTGTCTTTTTTATATAAAATTATTTTCAAATCAATCTCTTAATTATGCATTGATATTTTAATTTTTTATACTTATTAATATTATTTTTTTTATGGTCCTGAATGATACTTTTCCTTGAAAATAAGAATAAATGTTTTGGCTTTGTCAACCAAAAATAGTAAAGTTTAATAAAAAATAAAATTATAAAAATTAAATAAAACGTCAAAAGTAGTATATAACTTCCACCTTTTTCTTCCACGACTCAACAACCAAGGCAGGAAGGCAACTTACAAGTTAACCCAAAAAGATATTATTATTAATTTTTTCTTGTTTATTTATTTACTTCAGGGGAGAAAGAAGTGGGGCGTTGCTTCATCAAGTTGATAACTTGGAGGCGTTTGACTTGAAATTGGGTAATGGCTATGTTAGGAACTGAAGAGCGAGAAGTTTAGGCGCCATAACTTATCACTTATCAGGGAGAGAGGGGAGGGAGATCCTGAAGGCCTTTGCTTTTTTTAATTATTTTAGCTATAAATTTGAATATCTGTGTCTGTTTCCCTCTATTCTGACTCTGAGAGGAGCTCAGAGAAGAGTCTAGAACCTCCAACCTGTATATTTATACCTGTTTACCGACGAGACTCTACTTGTGACGCTCTTTCTCGCTTTCGTTTACTGAACTGAGAATCACAACGCAAATGGGGAGACCAAGGTGCTTCTTGGACATTAGCATAGGAGATGAACTTGAAGGGAGGATTGTGGTTGAGCTTTACAACGATGTCGCTCCCAAAACTGCTGAAAATTTCAGGGCTCTCTGTACTGGTGAAAAGGGCATTGGTCCCAACACTGGGGTGCCCCTCCATTTCAAGGTCCCCCTCTCTGTTTCTTTTTCTTTTCCTCTTTCTGTATTATTCCTTAGTCGTTTCGGGTCACCGATTGGCTGATATGTCATTTTTGGACTGGGCAGTATCAATTTTTAGTGCTGTTCATGCTGTGATTCTTGTCTAAATTTGGGAATTCTTTGTTCTATGACTGCTTGAATGGGATGGGTCTGATTTTCTTCGACTAACGGGGTTGCCGTGTGCAGATTTAAGAAGGATGTTTGGGGAATGAATATGGCTTATGGTTCTTTATGAATGATATCTTTTTAGTTTATCAGATTTTTTTTCAATTCGTTTTTTATGTGGACACGGAGGCTCCAATGGGGAGCCTGTTTTTGAGAGTATTTGGTATCTGGAAACTCTGGACTTTGCAGTAATCGAAGGATTGTAGATCACTCTCATTGCTTTTGGTCGATGATTGGGGAAAAGGCGGTTGTGCCCTTTATCATTTTGACTGTGAATGTCTGTTTTAGCCTTTTAGGTTTATTGGTTCTGTATCTATACAAATTTCATTTGGCAGTTATCAATAAAGTGGATTTTTATGGCCATTATCTTAGACAAGGGGTCTTTAAAGGCATTAAATTCCTTCATATAGAAATGTTCTCTTTTTCTTTTTTCGAGTGAAACACATTTGGATCTACTTTCTCTTTAATAATGGTCATCAAACATGAACACAAGTAGTTTTTGGCCCAAAAAAACATAAGCACAAGTAGCTAATTATTGGACAGCGTCTATTCTTAGTTCAGTGCATCAATGATTGCATATAACAAGCTGAAAGTGAATTGAAGAACTGTGTCTTTGGATGTAACACAGTACACTATGTGGCCTCTGCTTTGTGCTAGCTTATGACTATGAGGCAGTCCTATCGGCTCTAGTAGTATGGTGCTCATCTGTACTTTGTATAGCATGCGTTGTATTAGTTTTATACTTGATATGCTAGGATGTCATGATAACTGATATACATTTCTTCTATTTTATCTGTCTCTTAAGGGGAACTGGTATGTGAATGCAGGACAGCAGGATCAAAATCTTTCATGTAGCATGAGATATAATATTTCATATTTAAAATTGTTACGTGCAATGTAAATACTAAGCTCAACTATTGGACTCATATTGTATTCTGATGTGGTTCTAGGGATCTTGCTTTCATCGTGTTATTAAAGGCTTTATGATCCAAGGAGGAGATATATCTGCTGGAGATGGCACCGGAGGAGAGTCTATTTATGGGCTGAAGTTTGAAGATGAGAATTTTGAGTTGAAGCATGAAAGGAAAGGGATGCTATCTATGGCCAATGCGGGTCCTGACACAAATGGGTCTCAGTTTTTTATCACCACAACCCGAACTTCGCATCTTGATGGCAAGCATGTTGTATTTGGGAAGGTAGTCAAAGGAATGGGAGTGGTCCGTTCAATTGAGCATGTGACAACCGGTGACAATGACTGCCCCACTCTAGCTGTTAAAATCGTGGATTGTGGAGAAATCCCTCAAGGAGCAGACGATGGAATAACTAACTTTTTCAAAGATGGTGATACTTACCCTGACTGGCCAGCAGACCTTGATGAGAGCCCTAGTGAACTTCAATGGTGGATGAGTGCGGTAGACTCCATCAAAACTTTTGGTAACGAGTACTACAAGGTATAAGAGCTTTATTTAGTCAATCTCGCATGCTTATCATTTATCTTTTTTTGGCTGTGGGAAGAATGGTCCAAAAGTTTTCATGAGTACTATTACTGGTGAGACACGACAATTGCACCTATCAAAGCAGCTAGAAACAAATGCAATATTTTTTGGGGCCTGTTAATGGTTATTCTGTGCTGATGCTAATATTTCTCTTTGGCTCCCTGGTGAAGTACTTATTTTTTAAAATGTTTTTATCTGATAGAAACAAGACTATAAAATGGCTCTCAGGAAGTATCGGAAGGCTTTACGCTACCTGGATATTTGCTGGGAGAAGGAAGGGATTGATGAAGGTATGCTGAATTTTATTAGCAATTATTTTGCTTGATTGCACAGTAACTTTGCTACAAATTCAAAAACCTGACTTCTTTGCATATGACAATGTGTTTATGACTTTTTGTGCCTTTTCAGAGTTGAGTTTAAGTTTGAGAAAAACGAAGTCTCAGGTTTTTACAAATAGCTCTGTAAGTGGAAACCTACTTTGCTTTTGCACTGTGATGCAGTTAAAAATTACACCATTTCTACGATTACAGTTATCCATTAAACTCTGTTGAATCCTGTTCACTAATCTGACTGATCTTGCTCTCTCCCAAGTGCTTCTCTTTTACTGAGGTATTCTGTTTCTGCTATTTTACATTTTAGGCTTGTAAACTAAAATTGGGGGATCTCAAAGGAGCATTGCTAGATACAGAATTTGCCATGCGTGATGGAGACAACAATGTCAAGGCTTTGTTCCGTCAAGGACAGGCACGTATCTCAATTGAAGAACTCTTAGAATTTACTGAGGGATCAAGAGAGTTTCAGACATTGGAGAAAACCATTAAACTTTGAAAAGAAATAAATAAGTTGACTCAACACTAACTCTCAATCCAAACTACAATGACATCGTTCAATTCATGTAATTAACCCCACCTAATGTGATTGGGTTGTAAGATTCAAACTCAAGATTATTGATTTAGATCAACCCCCTTATTAGTTTGGTTGATTTTAATAAGGAATAATTACTTTAAAGTCCTACTCAAAACAATTAACTAATATTAGGTCCATTAACAACAGAGTTTAGGAGATGATTAACTAATCTCAGTCTCCTAAACTCAGTTGTTAATGGACCTGAGATTAGTTAATTGTTTTGAGTAAAACTTGTATGTAATTGTAGTTTGGTTGTAAGATTAAGACTGATATAACCTTCATTCTTATTCTACTCAATGTATGTCTTCTTTCTAGTTTTTACTGACACTTGACCCCAATGTTCAGAAGTTAAGTACCAATTTCTGTCTTCCTGACGGTATGTACAAGTCTTCTAATGATTGCGTTGCTTCCATTTGAGCAGGCGTACATGGCACTCAATGACATTGATGCTGCAGTTGAAAGCTTGAAGAAGGCATTGGTTTTGGAGCCAAATGACGGTAAGCTATGATTTTAGTTCCAAGTCTTCGTCATAAACTTTGGTATTCCTGATTCAACCTGGAATATGCAACAATATGCAACAAAAGTAAACTGGGCCTCAATCTAAAATTTTGTGAGTTGAGTAATCCGAAGTCTCTAAAAGGCCATTTTAATGTCTGGTGATTTTCAGCTGGAATCAAAAAGGAACTTGCTGCTGCCAGGAAGAAGGTGAGTCATGGGCATATCTATCTAAATAAGATCGCTTTTTCATGCATCAAACACTTGTGGATGGTCTAACTGATTGTACTTTTAACCTTAACAGATTGCTGATAGGCGTGATCAGGAGAAAAAGGCATATAGCAAGATGTTTCAATAACATTTCTGGTATGTTTCAACAAGATTTTTGATATCTTTTGTTGTTCTTGTTATTATAGGATATCGTACTACACTGTCATCGTGTTCCTTTTTTGAGGTTACAATGGCTGCAATTTCCGATGAATCAGCCATAGATTGATTTTTGATTTGTTCTCTAATGGGTTATGTTTCCTTGACAGCGGGAGGGACGCAAACAAATCACCACAGCGAATACAAATGTGAAAGATTGGAAGTAGACAAACGAAATGGTTGTGTTATAAATGATCGAATTTTCAGCCAAAGATTTTTTGCATTGTTTTACAGGGAACTCTTAAGCCTCTAGAAATATTTTTTGTATTCCTCTTGGAAACAGTGGTGATTTTATCTGGTGGACCACATATTGTAATGCTTATGATTTTGGTAAGTTTATATATTTATCTCTCATTGATATCATCTTATCTTACGCCAATACTATCTCTCTCTCTCTTTTTTTAATATATATGGGTTTAATTAGTATCTTGTTTTGCCAATTTCACTTTCTGTGTGGTTTTTAGTTTGTCAAAAATGTATTTGTTAAAAGTTTATTTAATAAAAGTCAGTGTAATAAAAGTTAATTGTTAAAATAAAATTTATGTTTGTATATATTTTTTTTAAAAGTTAGTTTGATAAATTAAAAGTTGTTTAGATTGATGATGATTTATGTTTTTGAAGTGTATTTTTAAACATGTAATAATTAAAAAAGATATTGATTTATAATAATTGATAATTTTTTATTATATAAGTATAATATATTAGAAATGCTTAAAAATGTAAAAAAAAAATCTAAAATAACATTTAAACTCATTTTTAAGAAGTTATTTTATTCACATGAAAAAAATACTCAACATCTAACATCTCAAAATGTTAAAAAATAGATTTAAAATGTGAAATGTGAAGAATCTAAATGCACCCTTAATATTTCAAATGAGTTCTCAATCTGATTTTTGACCTTTTATTTTTCCTCATTCTTAAAATTTCAAGTGAAAAATTATGATAAAAGTTATTTCAAAATTTAATTAGAAAATTCAAAAGAAAATTTTAATAATTTTATGAGAAATATAATAAAAAATTAACGAGATAGTTAAATTTTTTAGGATCTATTTGTTTTCTTTTCATTTTTTATTTTTAAAAATTATTTTGTAATACATTTTTTAAAATAAAAAAATAAAATTCGCATGGTTATATTAATCAAAAATAATTTGAAATTAAAAATAGATTAATAATACTAATTATAAATAGTAAATGATGGTAATTAATAATAAAAATTGAGTAATGTAACTATAATTTTTAATAATTAAATATAATATACTTTAAAAATAAAAAATAAAAAAACAATTTAAAATTGTTTCAATTTTTTTATTTTTAAAAATTAGAAATAAAAATAATTTTAAAAATAATTATCTAAACAAGTTTTTAAATTTTTTTCAAAAAAAATAATTTTTAAAAACAGAAAATAAATAAGTCCTTAGTTTCTTAACTTTGTTTTAATTAGTGATTGGTCTTTAAAATTTTATAACTGTGCATGATTAATTCTTATGTTTATTTTTGCAAATTGGAAGGATTACTTGTGTATAATTATAAAATTTTAAGGATTAAATTATAAAATACTAAATTTTAGACATTAAATTAATAATTAAGATAAATTTAAAATATGGAAATTATCAAATTATCAGGATGGAGTTAATAACACGCCATTGAGCAGTCATCATTACGTCGTCTGTCGACTAAACATGTGAAGTATGAAAGATCTGAAAAGTTAGACGTAATTTGCAACCAATACGGCGCACTAGTTCATTTTCCATCGATCTGTTAAACCTGCACTATTGTACCTTGACACTGTTAACTTTTCTGTTCATTTTTCGAACCACGTTCAACCCTATGAGGTCAAACTTGACCAATTTTTAATGTATAATAGTGAGAAATTATGTTTACTACTTCAACAAATCCATTGCATCTAATTACAGTCAACGACACAAGATTTGTTTTCCTTTTAAGCTAGTTAATCATACGTCAAAACTAATTTTTCTCTCACTTTTCCACGGTTTTATTGTCAAACTCTACAATCATCAAAGACAAGAAAACGTGATTGTTCACAGAATAAAAAGATAGGAGAATTACATTTAGTCCTCTTTTAAAAAAATTAATCACAAATAAGGATAAGCAAGTTTTATTGAAGAAAAAACAATTCATATTTTTATTTTAATGAAAATCCATTGTGCATTGACTTTATTTGTGATTAATTTTTTTGAAGGGACTGCATGTGACTTTTTCAAAATATAATAACGAGTATTTATCATATGCAAAATAAATTTAAACATGCAGAATTAAAAACTCCTCGAATGTCTTAATAAAATTTTAAAAGTCCTCTCTATTTTTTTTCTTTGTTTTTTTTTCAACCATGCCCTCGGATATAAGGAAAGAAGTGTGAAAAATGCATTATGCATGTTTTTTAAATTTTTATTTATAAATTTCTTTTAATATATTTCGTCAAGAGAAAAAACCCTTAAAATTCATTAGCTCTTTTAAAAATTTATAATCTTTTAATTTTTTTATATTAAATATACATACTTTAATTATGTTTTTTTTTTCTCATGAGTAGTACTTAATGGAGGTAAAATGATAAATTTGAAATAAAAAGTTAATGACATGACCATCACTTATTAATAGTCCTTAATTGAGGTAAAATGTATTTTCTCTCTCCCTTTTTTTATATTTAAGATCGGAAGGAGTGTATATATTCATCACTCAAAAAAAAAAAAATTGAGAGCCAGGAAAATATTGTAAGGTCAAGGAGGGTGTGCAAAAGAAAAGTGGGATGCTTGAAATATGGGGGGAAAACATAGAGAACATACCTACCCACCTTAACGCGAAATTAAAGAGGGTTCGTTTGGCCATTTTGCACCTCCAAATCAAACTTCATGCCCCGCGTTTCCCCATCTTCTCTATTACTATATATATATATATACACACCACACACTCCAACCCCAACCACATCAAGCAAATCATACTTCAGAACGCTTCTACCTTAGCTTGTACTGATCAAATTAATGCCTCAATAATCTTTTGACAGTACAATTAAGAGCCACCATGACTCCCAAGTTTGCACATTCCCTCACTGTTGTGGTTCTTCTGGGTTCTATTTTTGGAGCGAGTGTGGCCAACAAGGACTGGTTCTCTGGTTTTAACTACACAGACTGGTGGTCCAGATTCGGGCATCAGAAACCCAACCAGACTCAACCTAAGTCCAACACAATCCTTGTTGGTGGCTCTCAGAATTGGCGCTTCGGCTTTAACTACACCGACTGGGCTATCAAAAATGGCCCTTTCTACCTCAACGACACTCTTGGTGAGCCAGCTCTCCTTCTCTTTTTCTGTACATGTATACGTGAACAACCAAGCATGGCCTCGTTTTGTTCACTGTACGTGCTCGTATATGAATATATGCTCACATGCTTGTGTATATGTTGGAATTCAGTGTTCAAGTACGATGCTCCGAACGCCACCACGCATCCACACAGTGTTTACATGTTTTCGAACTTTCGGAGCTTCTTGAAGTGTGATCTGAAAAGGGCAAAGATGCTGGCGAATGCAACACAAGGCGTGGGAGAGGGATTCAAGATTGTGTTGAAGAGGTGGCAACCTTACTACTTTGCTTGTGGAGAGAGAAATGGCTTTCACTGCACAAATGGTGGTATGAAGTTCGCTGTCATGCCCATGCTTCGCTCCTTCTTCCCTTGGCCTTGATGATTCTACAATATTATTGCAGCAGAACCACTTCTGTGTTATAGTTTTTTTATTTTCTCTGATATACATGTTATACAAAATGAAAACAGGTTTCATTTTTCGTAGTTGTTTTTCTACATATTGTGATGCATTTGAGAAAATACTGCTAAAAGATATGCAGACTGAATAAATGTAAAAGTTGCTTGTTTCGTCTTGACCAGCAGAATTAGGTGTTCTGATTGCGGTGTTAATCGTAATATTTTTATCAGATGTCATGACTCATGACCTTCTTCAGACATTCGTACGTGGTGTGGTTTCGTTTTGTGTTGATCGTTAGTTGAGATCTACATTTTCAACACTTTTGGAAGACTATGTTAAGACCCTTGCTGCTTGAAACGATGTGAACTGTAATATATTAATATTTCCTTTTGCTCAAGATATTGATAGTTTCGAGATTTTATAAAAAAAAGATTTATTTTGTTGATATTTTATAAAAGTAAAAACTATCTTACATTTGGTTACACTAATAAAATGATGATTATTAATTACTTATTTTTAAATTTTATAATATCTTCCTCAATTTCTGTTTTATAAAAATAATTTATTATTCTATTATTTTAAATTTTTATGATATTTTTGCATATCCTACCTTTTTAAAACATTATCTCTCATCTACCATATTACTTAAGGTATCTTCTTAAAGTAATTAAAAATCTGCTTTTTTTTCAACTTTGATTATTTTTAACAGTTTAAACAAAAATTATAAAAACTGATAAAATAATTTTTTAAAAAAATAAGTATTTTTTTATAAAATAAGTTGAAACAAACCCCCCAATCAAATATGACTCGATTAGATATACATATATGAAGGATACCTTTTAAAAAAAAAATTAATAGAAGAACTTTTCTTATATTCGTTCCTCATACTGCATTGAGATATCCCACCCTAATTTACAATAGTTCATATAGGGCTCCTACATTTTGTTCTCTGTTTCATATTGACATTTTAATTAACTAGCATATCTTCTACATTCAAAATATTTTTAGAAGATAGAATCTCTATATTGATGAGTCTAAGAATGGATCATGAGATAATGGGTCTCAGTATGCATTATGGCCTGTATAAATAATAGATTAAGACTTTAATTAAGACTGAGCCTAAAACAAATTTATTGATCTATTAGAACATAAAAGTTGACTGAGTGATGCTCATTGTCATCGACGCTGCTTCGCAAGACACACCTCATCATTTATAATCCCAAAATTGAAGATTGGCTGCACTATAAATTGCCACCCCATTTACCTATCTCCTCACAAAGAAGATGATCACCAGATGAGTGTATAATATTTTAGTATATTGATTAATAACTTACAAAATTCGAATGCCCATACTAATCATCTATGCAAATAATGGAAACCGAAGCAATCTTAAAGCTCGATCAATAATTGAAAAAATTAGTTGACACATAATTTATGCTAATCATAAAAAATTAAAGTAGAAGTTATAAAATTCAACAAGAATTTAATGAGGGAAATAAAAAAATTACATATAGGTCCAGTGGAACTTATCTATTTACAAAAAAAATTCACAAAATTCATAAATTACAACCAACTCTTTTGGGATCATAATGTAATTTAAAATTCAGGTGCAAAGACAATAATAAATATCTTAAAAATATATTATATCAATAATTTATAACTATTACTTTAATTTTTTATAATTGTAACTTTACATATACAATAATTAAATTATTCATGTGTTACAAGTTTACTATTAGTTGTATATAACTACCTAATATGTAATTTATCACTATTACTTTAATCTTTTACAACCATAACTTTTTACGTCTAATAAGTAATGACAATATTATTTTAGTACTCTGGTTTTAAATTACACTCAAATTTTATGAGAGGTTTCTAAATTTTACAAAATTTATTTCTATTCAAATATGTTACACGAGACAGTATGTAATTTATCCTAAAAAAACCGAGTTGTCAAAAAAGATTACCATCCACCAAATTTGGCAAAGTTTTATAACTGAAAAGAAAAAAAAATTATTATAGGAAGATAAAAGGCCTATATATATATATATATATATATATATTTCGGGGTAAAATAATGCGACATTAAGCTGTCATCATGTCATCACGACTCGATTGAATCATTGATCGTACGTGTAAACGCTCTTTCGCGTCATGAGTATGAAAATATCAATTCCAAGTCAGAGACGTCCAATTTGGCGCCCACATTATCCCACTAGCCACCTTCCATCAATCAGGTACGTTCGCAACACGCATATTATATAACTTTCTTTTCTTTCAAACTTCAAGCCCTCTCTTTTATAAAATTTAAGCATTTTTATTACAGCATCGTATATACTCACACACTGCTTCTCTATAGCCAACAACACAAACTGAGCCTATACATCCTTTTAATAGTAATTCAACATATATGACTTTTTTTATTTTGTCTAGTTGAAATAAATGTTCCTGAGACTTGGTCATTAACGCTCACAGTCAGGCCAATACCCATTTTTGTTTGGAAATCAGGGTTTTATTTATTCTGGGCATGAAAAATGAAAGGAAGTGGAAGACTCTCTCTCTGTTTTTTTTTTAATGTGCAATACCATAGAAAACCGTGCAAAGAGGAAAGAAAAAAAAATCAAGTCATGTTAAGATCGATAAGTTTTTTGCATCCTAGTAGTGGATATATAATTGAATTTTATAATATCTAAGTTGTTGCAAGATGCTTGGTGGGTAAGTAATTTGACACATCTATTTGCTTCTTCAAACATATGGTGGAATGTGATCGTCTAATTTTTCAAGGTATAATCCTTAATTTTCTTGATAGTTTTTAAGAAGGGATAACTTTCAGAGAAATTGTAATAAATGAGTAATAAAGCTTTCATGGAGTCAAAATAAATATTGATTTTAGTGAATTTAACATTCCAACCAAAATTAAGACCTTCCAATGCATACATGAATTCTATTATTATATTAGGATGATATAGATTGGTATTTAAAATATTTAAAAAATTTCATAATTCAATTTCCTTTATTATTTATCACAGGTGATGCATATCTCCACAAGTAGCAATTTTAATAATGCTAACTTGAATTGTCAATGTAAAGTCTAACTCACCTTAGTTCCTGAAGACATCATTTAACTTCATATCTGACATTTTCTTTGATTAAGTGATTAATTCTTGACCCAAAATTCAAATTGTTAATTATTTATTGGGTGTAAGAAAATGTAATATTTTTATATATCTTGAGTATTTTCTTTAGAAAAGACCTCCTTACATTTAGCTTTCCAATGTTCCAGCAAGCGTATGAGTAAAAAGCCTCTGCAAGAAAGTGGAAGACTTTGAGGTGTCACTTTGAAAAAACAAAAGAAACAGGTGCATCCATAGATATTCCACTCTTCTGCTTCAAACCCTAGCTAACTACCCACCCACGCACGCTATAAACAAAGTTAAAGAAGTTTCATTTGGCCATTTGAACCATGCACCTAAAATTCAAACTTCATGCCTGCCCCCTCCTCTATATATATATATATATACCCCTATACGTTGTAACCAAACCACATAAGCAAATCATACCTCACACATAACCTTCCATCTAGCTTGTACTGATCATCAAAGCATCGATCTTTTGACACAAATAGGAGGAGCACCATGGCTTCCAAGTTTGCACACTCACTCACTGTTCTTGTCCTGATCGCTTCAATGTTTGGAGTAAGCGCGGCCAACAAGGACTGGTTCTCTGGTTTTAACTACACAGACTGGTGGTCCCGATATCAGAAACCAAACAAGACTCAACCTCAGTCCAACACAATCGCGGTGGGTGGCTCAGAGAATTGGCACTTCGGCTTTAACTACTCTGACTGGGCTTTCAAAAATGGCCCTTTCTACCTCAACGACGCTCTCGGTGAGCTAGCTCCTCGTCTTTTTCTATACATCTTCACGTGAACAACCAAGTGTGGTCTCATTTTGTTCACTGTACGTGCTTGTATATGTAGAAATGCTCACATGTTTGCGTATATGTTGAATTCAGTGTTCAAGTACGATGCTCCGAACGCCACCACACATCCGCACAGTGTATACATGTTTTCAAACTTTTGGAGCTTCTTGAAGTGTGATCTGAAAAGGGCAAAGATGCTGGCGAATGTAACACAAGGCGTGGGAGAGGGATTCAAGGTTGTGTTGAAGAGGTGGCAACCTTACTACTTTGCTTGTGGAGAGAGAAATGGCTTTCACTGCACAAATGGTGGCATGAGTTTCGCTGTCATGCCCATGCCTCGCTCCTTCTTCCCTTTGCCTTGATATAAGAAAAAATGCAGCATTATATATATATGGTTCTGGTTTATTTTCTGTTAAATGAAAGCATATATAGGATAAATAAATGATTTGGTTTATTTTTATTTATTTAACAAATATCCCTGGATTCCATGCTACCATGAAAGTTTAGTTTTGAGCTATCTATCATGCCAATTTTATTTGTGAACTTTTTTATATTATAAACTGTTTGCATATGTTGAAAACCCTCTGTTTTCGGCTTTAGAGTATTGAAAACAAGGGAGGGGATACATTAGGCCCAATCTAGAAGAGATCAATGCGGGCGGCTCCGATTACCCAATGGGCATTGGGGCTAACAAAATTGATCCTTCATGCTTCTCAACTTTCTAGCACTCCTCAATACTTCCTTCCTCACACATGTGCGCACTAGTATATCAGCACTCGAGTTAATTTCACGCTTATTAAAATATATTAGCTATAATTTTAAATTTATAAAAAAATATGTAACTTTTCAATTTACCTTTATTTATAATTAACAACTATAATAAATTTCTATTTAAGAATTTAAACTATAATAAATAAACAATGGATAAATTGGAAAAAAATATTAATTACTGTAACTTATATCAAAAATTAAAAAGGGCTTTTGTCTTATGTTAAAGCAACAAGAGAGTAGTCCAAGTTTTTATACATATTTTTCTACAGTAGGAACTACTGTACCTTTCAGGCGTTTTGTATTTCATTTCAGAAATGATTCAACCTATAAATTTATATTTTGTTTATCAAGGTTTTTTATGTATATCTCTTTTAATGAGTTTTATTTTTTTTTACATGTTCAATTATTTATCAATAATACATTTTTGGAATACAATAAAGTGACAGTTGGGGTTTGTTTGATTTTGTTACCAAGTTTACTTTTCTAAAAAATATTTTATAAATTAATTTTTATGAAACAATTTTAGAATTAAAAAATTATTTTAAATCATATTTTTGAAAAATGTCTTCCACCATCAATCAGTAGGCCACTTTTTACTTATCATCATTGGCCATTTCTGCCTTCTTTTGCGCTACTATTATTATTATCAGCCAGCACCAACGATGACCATTAAGCACATTCGGCTATCACTGCTTACAAACTACCACCATCGATTGGTAGATGGTGATAATAGGTGGTGATGATTGATTGATTAGTGGCAATGATGATGGCAGACAATGATAAGTCAATAGTGGCTAAGGGTGATGACTGGTGATAATTAATAGTCATGGTGATGATGGGTAGTAGCTAATAGTGATAGTTAATAATATCAGATAATATTAGTGCCAAATTGTGACTGCTAGTTGGGATCAACGATAATCACTAGTGATGATTGATGATAAAGCCTAGTGGTGGCATGTGACAAGCTAACAATGAGTAGCCACAATATGGGATTAGTGAAAAAGACTCTAATTGGTCAAATATAGTTAAAACGAAGAAAACAAAAATAATTTTACGATGTTTCTATTTTCTTGTTTTTAAAAACAAAAAATGAGAATAGTTGTAAAAATATTTTTGTACAAAACACTCATCCAAACAATTTCTTTTTCCTAAAAAAACACATTACATAACTCTCAGAAATAAAACCCAGGTTTGATATCAAATCAAGGATACTGTGTTGAGATACCAACCATAGAGTAAAGACAAGTACTCCCTTGGATGGTTGCGTTAGGATGATACAGACACATCCAAGAATCAAGCGTGGTTCACATATCGATTATATCAAATCTTCCGTCCTCTCACAATCTTGTTTTCCAATACTTTCAAGGTACCAAATCTTTGTAAAGCTCCCAGTTGGTGGCCTATCACACTGTCTTTATAAACATATTGATGGTTGGAAAGAGTTGCTAGTACAGTGCGTCTTATGCATATTTGGTGGCCTATCTATTCACCTTTCTGATGCATCAATTCATATTAATCCCCAAGCATAATATCATGTTATCATGTTATTAGCTGCCAAATATCCGAAGCCTCACCATTTAGCTTCACTTTAAAGAGGGTATCTTTGATTTCTTCCTCCTCCTCACAAAATATGTCCTACTCGGCTGAAGCCACCTGCATGTTTATTTCAATCAAATTTCCCTTAGTAAAAAAACCATTATTTAGCATGCAGGGTGTCAATGGCCTTGTAGTTTAATAATATTTAAACTCCTTATAAGTGAGAGATTGGGAGTTTAATCTTACTTATAACCTCAAATTGTTAAGTGTAATGTCTTACATGATATTATCAACACATACCACACATAAACATGCTATTGTGGAAATAAGCTTTTGTTTAATCCTCTTTTGGCTACTATAATAAAAAAGGCTAAACATTTATAGATAAAAATATTTGAAACTCGGATCCCATTTTAAAATCAGCTCAAACAATATATTTTATATTCTTGGAGGGAAAATAAAATAATCATTTCCTTCACAAAGACTTGTAAACAATCTAACATGCAAGTAAACATGATAGATTATCTAGTTAACTCAATCATTTTATTATCAAAAAAGGTTACATATGAATATTTCAATGCTCCTTACCCTCTTCTAGCTCAAAGAGGTTCCAAGCAATGACAATCTACACATTTAGACATTAACCTATCAAATCCAACTCTAACATAAGCGCTTCTTAACTTAATTTAGCTGACCTAAAGCCATAATACTTTCTTTATCATAACTAAAATCAAAACAACATTCCATTTACTCTATTTAACTTCCATTAAGTTAAATAATATCAATTATGATTTTCCATAAGTTCAAAACTCTCATTTCAAGGATAGGGTTCGTCCAACATTAAAGCCCCAACCTTAAAACTCTAAAAAACCATAAATTTTAGGTATAGAAACTTAAATCAGCTTCTAATGGCTCCATATAAGCCAAGGGTTCAAGCCAAACCTTCCTCTAACTTGAAAACCATCATCATATTCACAAAACCAAAAGAAATTCACGTAGAAAGACAAGGAGGAAGATATGAAGCTTAGCTAGAAGATTAGATGTCCAAAGCCATGGATTAAAATCCTAACAAACCCACAACCCTTCTTCGTCACTCCTCTTTCTCTTCCCTTCCTTTCCTTTTGTTTTCAAATGCTGATTGCATTTGATTTAATGAAATTTGGCCTCGTCCATCACCACAACAGATCACTTATCAACCCTACCTCCAAATTTTAAGCCTCCATTAAGGCTTGGTCTGCCCAATTACCATCTTGGCTTATTTTAAAGCTGTTCAAGTAATCCAATAGGTTTATTAATTAGTAATCCAAAACATAGTTAACTTTAATAAATTCACTAATTTTACTAAATTATCTTTAATTAGCTTATAAATTGATTTGTATTAAAAATTCAGGATGTTACGTTAATATTTGCTCCTCTCTAATTCTTAAGAAGAGCGGAGTAAACGTTGCAGTACTAGAAGGCAAAAAGTTGTACAACAATTGCAATATAGCTAATTAAAAATCTTAAACGTGATTAGTGATTTACATAATGAAGACAAATTGACAATTATTGTGGAGCAAAGCCAGAGTCGGGATGCATATGTGAGTGAAAAAATCAGTGGGCACACAATGAATAAACAACGGAGGGCATGGACATGGGAGAGTTTCATCAAAGGCAAGTAAGTTGAAAAGGACAGGGAGATAAGCAAGTGGAGAATGGAAACAAAATACGAGTTATGATGTAAGGGAGTGAGACTTGTGTTCTCAGGACTTGAACATCACAAATAGCCCTCTCAATGTGGGCACATGCAATAGTGCTCCACACTTTGGGACATTAATTAGTAATTATCGCTCCCTTTCCTACTCCCAATAATGACGACCACCTCCAATTGTTAATTTTGGAGAAAATGACACTTGCAAGACTAGAAATAATATTAAATAAAAGGATCTCAAATTTTGAAAATTACCGTCTAAAACCTATTTTAAAAATGTATACTCCCTCCATTTAAAAATATAAGACAGTTTTTGAGAAATTGAATGTTCACAAATATAAGGCATTTTTAGTCTTTTGATATGTAATTATTATTTTTTTTCAAAAGTATCCCTATTAATAATAATTTTATATTTTTTATAGAGTGTTTAATAAGAATAAATATGATAAGATAAGGTTAGTTGAAAAGTATATAATAATTTTATTAGAAGTAAAATTTAATTAAAAATACATTATATTTTTAAATGAAGAGAATACATGTATTCATTATATTTTTCATGGCGGTTTTCGAATTTCATTATAAGCGTCATAATTGAGATTCAATTGTTACTCTCAAATTTACAAGTCAATTTTAGGGGTGGGTGGCTGAAAATCCACACCTAAAATAGACTTGTGGATATCGAAATGGCAGTTGCACATGATTTGTGAACCTCAGTTGTTTCAACTTTTAATTTTTTTTATTTTGAAAAAACTTGTTTGAAATTTTCAATTCCACATTTCAAATTCACTTAGAGTGAGGTACTATAACACTTGTAAATATTTTTTAAAAAAATTATATGGATCTTCAGCCCCTAACCCTAAAATATCGACTACTGATTTTGAGGATGACAATTGTGAATCTCTTCTGTAATACTTGTAAGCTTTGTATGAAATTTTCAGCCCCACCTTCTGAAATTGACGTACACAAGTGTATGATTGGCGGTGGTGATTTTTTTTTTTTTTTGGGTTATCACAAGTTGCATGGAATGACAAATATTTTATTTTATTTTTTAAATACCAGGGCCTTTAATTTGATAATAATTAATTTCTAAAATGCAAAGACTATGGTCCCTATTTATATTTAATAATTTTTCTTGGACTACAGGTATGGTTTCCCCTAAATTTGGTTATTGGGCGTCCCCATCAACGTAGATAAGCGTCGTTTTCAATTACGTGCGGGAGGTGGGTACTTATCCTCATTGGAAATTCATGACAAATCTAAATCGTTAGTGTTTTATATACCTAACCAAGCAAGAGAAAAATTGAAAATTTCTAATAACTTGTGTACATATATATAAGTTCCTCTCTCTCTATGTCAGGTTGATTATTAATTTTAAAGAAATTTGCAAACTAGTGGACTCAGCAATATGATAAAGCTGTGCCCGTAAATTCTGTTTCTGGATTTCATTATTTGTTTTGAAAGCAGCGGCTACCAATAAAAAGATGCGTGTATGCAATTGATTGTTAATTGATCATTACAATTATCTAACCAAATGTTTAATATATTAATAAGTCTTGAATCTAACAATAGAAATGAAGAGTTAA